CCTTGAATAACATTTAATGTAGCCCCTGGGTTGTCTCATTCTTTACTGCCCTGTAGACTGGCTGTATGATCAGCTAGTAAGAGGTTAAGACTGTCTGTTCCCTCTTGGCAGTGCTCGCTGCTCTTTCCTTCTGCTTGGCTCCTGTCCGAGTCAGGTGCAGTGATGGGGAAGGACCACATGGGTGTCCAGTAGTGACACCACCATTGCCCAGGTTTGGGCTGAGAGGTGTATAAAGACCATTCCTATTAAATTACATGAATGCAGAGACTTGCCAGGACAAAATTTTCCTGAGGAATCAGAAACACTATTGAGTGAGATGCTGAGAAGTACCTGGGTGATACAGTTAGCAGGTTGGTGAAGGTCAAACACTAGCTTAAAATCTGCAGACCTAGAATTAGTTCTCGAGCCTGAAGCGGCTTGGCTCTCAGCTAGTTTAAATCCCTCCCCACGTAGACTAGGATACCAGTGACTAAGATCCAGCCTGTTAGACCCTGATTTGAGGTTAGATATTGTAAAGTGTGAATTTATTAACATATGTGAGGTTAAAAATGACATACTTAAAGTGACACTTTAGTAGAAAAATGCTTTTAGGCTTCAGTAGTCATAAGATTTGTTAGCCAGGTGTTAAGTTGCTTAAGTCATTTCAGGGTTGCCATTAGCCTGAGTAGGTTGACTCGTAGGGTCTGTTTCTGTCTGTGTGTGTACCCACCATTCAGAGAGACTGGTCTTCCCCTATTTCTCTTCCTTCAGATTGCTTTGATTGTTCACCTGTTCTTTGACCTTTTGTCACTCAGTTCATTCTCAGGCTAATTGCTATGGGGTACAAAAGGGCTGCTTTGCCCCAGTTGTGAAAACTTGCATCTAAGTAACGATTCATCAAATAAAGATGCGTTTAAATAATACCACAATTCTATCAGCCTAAATTGTTAATTCTCAAGAACGATTTTCTCAGAGTTTGTGTTCACTAATAATAAAAGCCCAAATTTGGTGTTTTATTCTTAAAACTCCTTTTTTAAAAATTGGGGAGACAGCAGTAGTTAAAATTCATGAGACCCAATGGAGTTTTGATGACAGAAAGCCTTGTTCTTGCAATAATCAAAGGTGGAGAGCTGGACTGATCAGGTGACATGTGGCGAAACCCCCTTGTGTGAGTTAGGTGAGAAGTTGGGTTACACGAGAAGCAATCTTTTGATTCCTACACTTGTTTAGACTTGGTTGCCGTGGCTCAGGGCTGCGAACCCCTTTTCCTCCGTTGGGGGCACTGCCCTCCGTTTGGTGTGCTTTTGCCCACTCGCCCCTCTGCTGGAAGACAGGTGTGCGGCTGCTTTGTCTGCTGAGGCTCAGTAACTACAGGCGTGGCCGGTGCTGGGCCCACACCATTGTCCACTTAGTCAGATAAGTGGTTTTTCAGACTTCTCCCTCCAGTGCTGGGATAGGGCTTCAAACTGCTGATCGACCTTCAAAGGAGAGAATTGGTGTGAGAACTGGTGTCATTTATGTTTCTGTTTGCATCTTTATGAAAGATAAGGTTTAGTTTTTTGTTTTGGGTTAGACACCCCATTTATGTGGTCTGACAGCCTTAACCTTTGGCATATATAGTCTTTTACTCAGAAATAAGACGTTTAATGTCTCTGTGCCATTTCTCCTTTCATGAACCTTACTTTCTAGGGGAGCACGTAGCCTGAAGCTGTTGACTTAAACCATTCTCCTTTCTCTGCCTAATGACTCTGTTGGTTGGGTGTGGTTCCCGGATACACGGCATATTTGAAGAGAGGTGCGAGAGGAAGTCAGGACAAACAGTGGTCTCGGGTCCCCCTTCGTGGCGTAGCAGCGGTTTTCCCTCCTCAGAAAAGCACTGCACTGTAATTGTTGCCCGTGATAACCCCTCTCCCCGCCAGTTCCAGACACTGCAGTCAGAGACCTCCATAATAAGGGAAATACACATTTCAGTGATGTTGGCAATAGCACAAGTTGGCAGTAGATAACCACAGCCTTACTGGAGACTCGTGTGTGTCCAATGTTGGTACCCTAGTGCTGTGGATAAAGGAGTGTTTCCCTTTTTTTTTTTAATGGCTCTGGACTAACTAGTCTGGAGAATTTTTCAATATATCAGTGTGACTGAGACTTCTTTAAGTGGAGTGTTCCTTAATAACTATCATTCTTGTTACAGTAGGAAACAAGCTCGTTGCTGTTCCTGAAAGGCCCCTTGAGAGGGTCCCCCACCACAGCCAGCTCCTGGGCTTCGCGTTGTGATTGGTGCCTTCTGCCCCCCGTGTTGACTAGTTTATACCTTTCCCTTTCCTGGTTGAAAGTGGTTACAGTTTCTCTCTTCAGATGTTGTTTTAGCTAGCAAAGGAAGTAGAAAAAAGTACATTTATATTTACATACCTTATGTGCAGCCTTTGTTTAGGTTCAAGGAGGCCAGGCAGCTCTAATTGGTATTGCAGCCTAAATGTTATTTATCATTTTGTTTCTTTTATTTCCTCAATTAAAAAATAAGGTTACTTATATTAATTCTGTGAGTATATTTTGACTTTATCATTTTCCAGTGTAGGCTTGATAGGTGTATCAGAGAACTTTATATGTGGCAGCAGTTTCACATTCCATGGTAGGGAAAAGCGCAAAGGTCCATAGAAAGCACAAAATCACGTCCACACGTGTGTCCCCACGTGTAGAAAGCACAAGAGGAACAGTGTTCTCAGTATCCCACAAGTGCCAGTCACAGGGCCCACCAGGTGCTGGGGAGTTGTTAGGATGGGGGACCACAGCATTGAAAGCCCGAGACAGTGAGGCATGGGCCCTGAATGACAAGCAAGTCAGTAATCTGAATAACTGTGTTTCTTTGGTGGAGGGAGAGAATACAGATGTCAAGAATGCTGCAGGTCTGTCTGGGGATTACTAGCTAAGATGGGGTCTGTGGGCTCTTTCCCACAGTCTGGAAGTAAAGAAACAAGGACAGACTTGGCTTTTGGTGGGTGAAACAGTTTGACAAACTTGTGCTATAGAGCTCTTGGAGGTTTTATTATTATTTTTTTAATCTTAAAACTTAAGGATATTTAACCTTCCATCAGTAGTACCCGGAAAACATGGAGAAATTTCATATTTTAACAGGGCAAATACTACTTGTCTTTAATCTTTGTGTGGGTTTGTATGGAAGACGTGAAGTTACCTTGACTTTACGTGTGCTTGGCTGTGCTTCGTGTTAATAGAGCAGAATTTGGTCCAGGTGCTCTAGCACCAAACTCATTCCGAGGCACATCTGCCAGGTGAGCTCCTCTGCTTTTCACAGTGGTGGTAAGAATCCAAAGGATTCTCTTGCCGTCCCACTACCTGCTTCAAGACTAGATTGTCCCACTACCTGCTTCCAGACTCGATGAGATGAAATCTGTGAACAAGTGGGCAAAGGACAGCATTGTGTTTTGTTCCGCTTGGCATTGCCCTTATCTTACCCTAACTTTCTCTACCTGAGTAGTCCTTGTTTATCAGGAATGAGTAAGTGTATCTTTGTCTTGGGTTTTGCTCAAATGTAAAAGATAACACTCCGAATGGGGGAGAAGTCACTCCTTTGTTTCCACTCTGTGTATTTATCTTCTTAGGGGAAGACTGGTCGGCTGGTAACCTGGATGAGGTTAGAGCTGGTGCACAGTGTGGCAGGTGGAGGAGTTGGGGGGAGGGTCTCTCCAGCAGAAAGCGGCCAGGTGTGTCCCTGCAGCATCTCCAGAT